TAGCGTAAGAAAATGGTATATCAAGGTTGTGGACCCTATAGAGGTCACAATTTTTATCCGATTTTGTTGAAACTTGAAATGTAAGTCTATAACCAAAAGATCTCGGTTCCTTTCGATATTCGCGCATATCGGACCGTAATTTCCTGAATTATGGCCCCTGATTGTACGAAAAATCGCCTTTTTAGCTTGTGGACCCTATAGAGGTCATAATTTTTATCCGATTTAAAAAAACGTATTATTATATCACCGTTACACCCTAAGGACGACTGAGTTTGAATTTCATGAAAATCGGGCCAAAATTGACAGACAAAATGGCCGCCGTTCATTCTCAAATAGCGTAAAAATATGGTATATCAAGGTTGTGGACCCTATAGAGGTCAAAATTTTTATCAGATTTTGTTGAAACTTGAAATATAAGTTTATAACCCAAAGATCTCGGTTCCTTTCAATATTTGCCCATATCGGACCGTAACTTCCTGAATTATGGCCCCTGATTGTACGAAAAATCATGTTTTTAGCTTGTGGACCCATTAGAGGTTATAATTTTTATCCGATTTAAAAAACCGTATTATTATATTACCGTTCCACCCTAAGGACAGTTGAGTTTGAATTTTGTGAAAATCGCCCCAAAATTGACAGACAAAATGGCCGCCGTTCGTTCTCAAATAGCGTAAAAATATGGTATATCAAGGTTGTGGACCCTATAGAGGTCACAATTTTTATCCGATTTTGTTGAAACTTGAAATGTAAGTTTATAACACAAAGATCTCAGTTCCTTTCGATATATGCGCATATCGAATTGTAATTTCCTGAATTGTGGCCTTTGATTGTAGGAAAAATCACTTTCTTGTTAGCTTGTTCTCTATCCATCTCTCGAAAATGTGGGCGTATCCTGCCTGGCAGCCGCTGGTTTGATTGTGCTATTACTACACCCCCAAACAACACAATTGACCATGTTTATGCTTCCAGTTAGACAAAATGACGGGATGCAGTGCTCAGTTGCAATAGCCTGCTTTTAGGGAAATTCACAACGTCTGTCGTCTTTGACGTCACCCACGGAATTAATCAAAACGAGGCTGCAGATATGCAATGTCAATTCGTGTTTTTTGGGGGTATATTTTTCCTTTGTAAAAATATTCAGAATGACATTTAAAATTTCGCAGGGCTAAATATATTTGAATATTAACGTTATTTTTCATACTAAAACTTTTTGCGATAGTATAAGGTCCTTTTTTAGCCCTGCGGTGTGTGTGTAACCCTTTCGGCACCGCAGTAATCAATAGGAGACTGGTTGGGGTGTTAGCTGCATTGGAATAACAAGAGAGACAATCAATTAGTATATTTATTTGGAATAACAATGGCGCTGAAGACTTCTCTTTTGCACAATGGAAATTATTATTTAAATCTACAAATCTACTCTTTTATGTCAGAAGACACCTTACTCCAAATTTTTTTTTTTTTTTGTGTAAACAATATTTTATTTCAGAAATTTATGAAAAGGGAACAGACAGAGCCTATATTACCCCTCTCCTCATACAAGGAATATAAAACATATAATATACAGATCTTCTATGTACATATTATAACATAATGGTGAAAATCATATAAAGTAAATAATTCATAAAATAATTAAATAAATAAATTAAATAAAACAAATGAAAAAAAAGAGGAAGTGCTGTTTTATAACATGATAAAAAGGGTCCTATAAATAGAATCAGATATTGAAGCGTCTGGTAACATCGAAGTATTCATGAACTATTTAAAGATTTTATTAGATGTAGTCTGATTTTCTATGCCAAAAAGAAGTGGTTTAATTTTTTGCTGGTGGGATGGTAAAAGATGTATTGTATTTTTCGTGCATCTGAATACAGTAGGCACCAGCGGAGAAAATGTTCAGAATCTTCAAAGCGATGACCACAGCTGCATGATGGATCCTCGGAGATATGTCATAGAAATTTATGCCCGTTTAGGTCGCTACACGAAAGCCGCAATCTACTGTGTATGATCTGGTTCTTTCTTTTGCCCTGTAGAAATGAATTTGGAATAATGGGATCATTTAGTTTTAAATTTTGTTTGAAAGTAGTGAGAGACGGAGAAATTCTTATATTGATATCAAGTTTGTTCCATTCTTTGGTTGATGAGGGTCCGAAAGAGTTCGAAAATATTTTGGTTTTACATTGGTATTCTGAAAGGTTGCCATTGTTCCAAAGATGATAATTATTGGGTCGAGTCCTTGAGGTAAGCGGGTGTCAGGTCATTAATGATTTTATAAATATGAGTCAGTTGGTGTCGTTTGCGTCTTTCTTGTAGCGTAGTAAACCCGGTTTCGTTATATAATAGTTTATGGCTGGTGCCCTTTACAGCCCCACATATAGTTCTAAGTGCATCTAATTGTAAGATTTCTAGTTTATCAGTATGATCATCAGTGCAGCCATCCCAGATAACATCACAGTAATCGAAATGGGGTAAAATAAAGGAATTGTATAGAGTGTGCAGGGATTTTCTATTAAGCCTATATTTGAGTGACCTTAAAGAGTTAATTAGTTTGCTTGTTTTATTGATAATTGAATCTACTTGAGCATGCCATTTGCAGTTAGACTGAAGGATTAAACCGAGGTGTTTATGTTTCTTTTATAGGAATGTGATTAAATCTAAGGACTGGAAGTGGAGGATTTTTCTTGTTAGTCAGTGCCAGTGTTTCGGTTTTGAGGGGGTTGAAGGACACCAGCCATGTTTTCGCCCACCTATTTAGTTTTTCTAGGTCAGTATTGATTGTATCGGCAGTTGCAGCTGGATCATCGATTGTTAGATATAGAGTAGTGTCGTCTGCAAATAAACGGGTGTTGGAATTAATATTTTCAATGATATCGTTTATGTAGATGAGAAATAGAAGGGGACCGAGAACAAAGCCCCGCGGAACACCGGATGGAACTGTTTTGGGGGCGGAGGAGGCGCCATTCACAACAACTCTTTGTTTGCGGTTAGTTAAATAATTTTTGAACCAGTGAAGGACGTCCCCTCTGACCCCAGTCGCCTCAAGCTTATGACAGAGTCCAGCGTCCCAGACTCTGTCAAAAGCTTTGCTTATGTCGCAGAAAACTGCTCTCGTATATTTGCCTTAATCGATGGCTTGACAAAACGTATGTGTTAGGCCAGTAAGTTGATAGACAGTAGATTCGCCGTGAAGAAAGCCGCTCTGAAGTTTATTAATGATAGAATTGTCGTGGAAGAAGTTAAAGACATGTTTGTATATGCAATTTTTGAAAGTTTTGGCAAGAATACTTAAAAGAGATACGAGTCTATAGTTTCCACAATTTGTCGGGTCGCCTTTTTTGAGGATAGCAGTAATATTTGCGAATTTCCAAATATCAGGTACGATTTTACTTTTTAGGGATAGGTTAAATATATTACATAAAGGTTTAGATATTTCTTCATACAATGATTTTATTCGTTTTCCGCTTATTTGGTCTGGGCCATTAGATTTTGATGAATCAATTGTTAGGAGCATGTCCTTAACTTCCTGGGGAATTAGTTCAATTGTGCACAGTGAGTTTTCGTTGCGGCTTAAGGTGGGGAGAACTGCATTTGTGCTGTCAAGTGATGATTGAGTTATGAAATGGTCGTTTAAACAGTCAGCTTTATCAGTTAGGGAAAAGAATGTTTTGTCGTCATGTGTACGGGGAGGTAATTCATTACATGTCTGTCGTGTCTTTTTCATAAATGAATTAACAAGTTGCCACCAATTTTTGTTACCAAAATTTTTCTTATCGTTTATCTTATCAAGTTTTGTAAAATATTCGCGTTTGCATTTTCTTATAAAATCAATATAGTTGTTTCTAATAGTTCTGAAATTCTGCCAGGCTCTGTCTGAGTTTTCCTTTACTGCTTTTTTGTGGAGTTTATTTTTCTTTTTACTCATTTTCCTTATACAGTTATTCATCCATGGTTGGTCCCTTGGTCTAATGGTTACTAGTTTGTTTGGAATGTGTCTTTTGGCACGACTTGTCAATTCATTTGTGAAATTATTACGAGATATATTTATACAGTTAGTGTCGATAAAATCGTCATAGTTGGTGGATAATACGTCCAAAATGTTCCCTGTGAATTATAATAAACTATACTACTAGTCTCATATTTAGTTGTGGTCTGTATCCATTTTAAGACATTAGCACAGGATGAGTTATCTCCCTTCAGTAATAATAGCTTGCACATTACGATCAACTCGCCTTAAATTACTAGGCGACATAATACAAAACTACGAGTATGGCTAGAAGCCTGGTGAACAATAACAATAATCACATCAATAAAGTATTCTATGAGCACATAATCACAAAATTAGAATAACATTACAACCGCCTCGCGGTGCGAATTGGTCCTAGAGGGGTGTGGAAATTGAATCATGCTGGACCGTTTCGGAACTCTGTAACTTACATGAATCAGAAAAATACTAATTCTGTGACAAATACTAAGTTGCTTAGCCTTATAATCATATATACTTGTTCTAGGAACATTCCGACATCAAATAACATATGATTTCAATGTTTACAATGAAAACTAATTACCTGAATTGGAAGAACAAGAGAGATAACCAATTAGTATATTTATTTGGACCTTATGTGCATGATGAATGACAAGCGATGACGAATGACGATTGACAAGGAATTTCTAAGCAATAACTGCTCCCTTTAGGTCAATATAATTCAACTACAGTATTGAGTTTAATAACTATAGGCTTATTTTTTCTTTATTAGTGGTGACACCGTGGCCATCGCAATCGATCCACCAGTAAAATTTATTTAGACCATAACTTCTTTGATCTTCGGCGTGGTAAAACCAACTGAAATGTTAGTTATACCATGACTGGGACTACTTTCTTCGCCCCCTCCCATATCCTGTCCCAACAAATTCAAATCTTAAGCAGCAATTTTTAATGGGCAAAAATGGCCAAATCGCAATATTAATGCCTTGCTCTAATTTTGATTGAAAGAAATACAACACAATTTCAGTACATTTTTCTTTTTTTAATGTCACATTAACAATTTATATTTAATGAAATATGTACACTCCTCCGTCGTTTACCATCCGAAGTGGTATCTGGATCGTCAGACAGCGGTCGTTTAGATGACTGGACAGTAGTAGAGGATGAACTCTGGCCTTGGATCACACTACTAACAAAAGCCTCTTGTGCGGTGTTCGATCGCTTGTATGCGCGTATAGCGTTACTTCTATGTCCTGTGGTCTTTGCTATGAGCTGTTCATCCACACCAGATCTAAACAGGCGAGTCGCACAAGTAGCTCTCAAGGAATGATTAGTGAAGAATCCTGAAAATATAAAAGGTTTCAAATTCATCAATAGTCGTATAGATTCAGAACATATTGTGCGATTCAAATATCATGGGATAGTATTCTGGTTACTAAAGTCGATCGAGAGAAGGGGGTGTTCTATGACAGTATTCTTTCAATTAAGTTATAATTACCTTTAAATCCAGCCGCTTCACATAACCTTTTGACGGTGTTCGCCAGTGTATTCCGGCCAACAGGTGCTGCTGCATACCACATCTTTTCTGTTGGTTTAATCAATGGTCGCAGATATACCATAGACATAGCATGTTCAGGTCTCAAACTCAAGTATTGCTGATACAGCTTCACTATGCATCTTTTAGGGTCGTCACTTCCATATGCCGTCACACACTTGGGATTCACTCTAAATTCTTTCAGTCCACGCTGATTAGTTTTGCTAATTTTCTCTGTATATCTTAGATAAGGTGCCTGTTCATTTTCGCCTATGCATAACTGATCCAAAGTTAAATTACGATGCTCACCACCACTCCGCAAAGCAAAGTTTAATCCAAAAAGATACACAATCGTGTCCAGCAAAGTTTGTGGATTCGAATTTCCTAAAATACCTTGTTTCCACATGATATTTTCTTCATCAATAGAAATTACATCAGCTTGTTTCGTCAATAATCCATTCCCTTTACTGGCACCAATTTTCATAGAGTTGTCGAGAGTATTCCTGAGCTCATTAAAAATCGGATCTGATAACAGTTTAACTAGGCGGCCAATGTTATTCAAGTGCATTTGAATGAGCAAAACCAGTTGGCGTAACGTTTTAGGTGGGTATTCATTGCCATCAGCTTTCCTGGTTTCGACAATAAACCTACTCAAACAATAACTTAGTTCATCATCGTTTAAAAAGTCTAATTCACGTGTTATGAAACTCAGTTGATGACCAGATGTATCTCCTTGTCGGATTTTGTCATTTCTAGCCTTTCTCCAGCTTTCAAAGAGTCGACATGCCCATGATATTGTCTTTTCAGTTGTTCCCGGAATAATTTTCTTCGTCAAAGATGACATCTCATCGTCGGTTATAGGTGATGCGAACCGGGTGTCTACCTCAGCTGGTTTAATTTCCACAGTTTCATCATTATCACTGCTTATATCGCTGTAGATAGGTTTAATCTTTTCATCATTGAAATACATGTTAAAATTGTCCTCTTGTGTTAATAAAGTGTCTGAATACTCCTGGTTAATTGCACTTTGAGAAGACACGGGAAAATCGTCGTCACTATCCATTATAAAAAGACACAGAACTGCAGCAAGAAGGAAACCTCTTCTCAAACTGATACACACGAATCTAAGCTCCTATTATACATGCGTACTAACTACTGATCAATGTACTTATTCTTCTTTTAAGTTATGCTCACATTGAATAATCAACGAAAACATGTTCAATAAACATTACTCAGTTGTTAACATAACTTGGCCATAAATAGTGACGTGACGTGACAACAAGTTACACGTGCTGAAATGTCATGTAGGTCGTGTAACATACCAATAATCGTCCACAAAAGAAATAGTTCTATGTACAAATCTAAATTAATAAGTTTAAAAGAATATTTTTTTAAACATACGTAGTATATCATAACTGGTTATGGTCTAAACAGGTTAGATTACTCGGTTTCCGTAGTTTAATCGTTTAAAATGTTAGTTAAACCACTCAGCGCTACGCGCTTCGTGGTTTAACTAGCACTTTAAACGATTAAACCACGGAACCTCGTAATCTAACCTATACATTTAGGATAAATCAATCTAGTAATAAGTCACTGGAACGATAAACCGAGTCTAGATATTATTTATTATTTTCTTGTATAAAAATTATGTCAAGTAAGATTCTATAGCTTTGTTTAATTCTATGGAATAATATAGTTAATTGTTTTGTTTATTGAATGCCAAAGATAATGCCTTGTTCACCAGGGGCCTGTTTCACGAAATTTTAACTAAGATAAAATCCAAATTTTAGCAATTTGATTGGATAATATTAGATTGATTTTAGTGCTTAGCCAATCAAAATCAAATTTGGATTTTATCTTTAGTTAAGATTTTGTGAAACAGGGCCCAGAAGACTGATAAATTGAATAAAAGACGTTCACCAGAAGAATGAAAAAGGGAATAACATGAGACGTGTTCACTCACTTTTTTCGTCCGTCTGGCGAATTCTGTGATTCATTTTGTCATTCGTCCGGCTAATCTGTCTTATTCTGGCATTCATCTGGTGAATCTTTGTCATTCTCTTTGTTATTCGCCCGACAAATAAAATTCTAAAACATTTTTTATGTATTAGAAAAATAAAGACGCTTGAAGAATTTGTAGGTAAAAATTATTTCCTATTTAGTGTACGCTGGTCCAGTAAATTGTGACATACATTTTGTCATGCGTCTGAGATAATTTCTGTCATTCACTTTGTCATTCGTCTGGTGAACCTGTGTCATTCTGTGTCACTCATCGGATGGACATGGACCTCTGTCATTCTGTGTCATTCGTGTGGTGAACCTGTGTTATTTTCTGTATCACATACTTTGTCATTCGTCCATCCGGTGAATTCTGTCATTCACGTTGTCATTCGTCCTGCGAATCTATTTTATTCCCTGTCATTCGTATGGCAGGGGTAAACCAGACGAATGACACAGACTAACCGGACGAATGACAAAAGGATAGGTTGCCAGGCAACAAAACATATGCCCCTAGCAGCTAAATCGTCCGAGCAGTCGACAAGGGTTGTCGCATATTTATTCTTTTGTAGGTAATTAGGGGCATTTCATATATAATTTCATACAGATGACATTATAATTTTCGTCGTTTGAGGGTTCACAAGGTTCTAAAAACTAAAACAAGGGCCGTAACTGTGGAAGTAATCTACGGAAATTGTTGAAATTCAACAAGCTTTTTCGTTTTACTAATTCAAATAATGCATATAAATTTCATACAGATCAGATGATAACCTTTGTCGTTCGAACGTTCACAAGATACAACAACTGTTGTCATTAGAGCGTTCAATAGATCCAACAAAGTGAAACAAGGGTCATAACTCTATATGTAATTAACGGAAATTGCTGAAATTCAATAGGCTTCTTTGTTTTACTAATTTAAATGATGCATATAAATTTCATACAGATCGGTTGATAACTTTTGTCGTTAGAGCGTTCACAAGGTGCAACAAAGTGAAACAAGGGCCATAACTCCAGAAGAAATTAACGGAGTTAATGAAATTGAATAGGCTTCTTCATCTCACTAATGCAAACAACATATATCAATTTCAGATGATAAATGTAGTCTGTAGAGTGTTCACAAGAAATTGTGGACGACGGACGGACCGACAGACGGACGGACGGACGGACGGGGAGCGATGGTAATATACGACCACATTTCCATGTGGGCGTATAAAAATGACAGAGGTTTAACACACGAATGGCAGATGAATAACAATAAGAATGTCAAGGGAATGGCTGGTTTATCAGCCGAATGACAGAGTTCACCAAACGAATGACAAAGTCAATGACAGATTATACAGACGAATGACAAAGATATTGGCAGTGATTCACCAGACGAATGACAAAGGTTTACCACACGGGTTCAACGAACGAATGACAGAGGAGGAAACGGGTTCGACAGGGATTCAGTCGAATGAGAGCTTTCACCAAGCGGATGACAAAGAGAATGATTCGTGTTCCAGGACATACGAAAACGTGAATGACAGAAATCACCAGACGAATGACAGGGAGTTACACCAGACTATTTACAGAGTGATTGATAATTCGCTAGACGGACGAATGACAAAGTGGATGAAATAGGTTTACAGGACGAATGACAATGTGGATAAACACGTTCACCGGACGAATGACAAAGAGGATGTCACATTCACCAGACGAATGACAAAGTGGGTGGCAAGAAATTCGTCGGCTAAATGCCAGAGGTATACCAGAAGTAGGACAAATTGAATGACACAGGTTCACAACACGTGTGACGGAGTATGACACGGGTTCGCCGGCCTAATGATAGAGGTCATAGACGTAGCAGCAGCACCCCGCCCCCTCTATCCTCAGATCCGGTGAACCGTCCATTTTTGGGCAATGTATTCCGTTCTTCGGGCACAAACATTAGAGAATGAGACCATATATCATATAATTGACAAATGAAATCGCTCGCGGTTTACTTTTTGAATACTACAATGTAGGAAGTGGAGCTTTGTGCAAAACTCGTTTTAGTTTCGGATTGATTCATTCTAAAAATTCGGAAGACAAAGAAAATTTTCGGGCAACACCTACCCCCCTCCCCCCTATACGGAGGTTCACCAGACGACTGACAAAGTGGATGACAGAACTTCGCCAGACGAATGACAAAGTGAATGACAGAAATCACCAGGCGAATGGCAGAGAATGACACAGATTCACCGGACGAATGACAAACTGAATGACATAACCCACCGACCGGAGGAATGACAAAGTGAGTAACAAAGACCTAGAGAATGATAGTTGTTCACCAGACGAATGACCAAGTGAATGACAAATCCCCAGGCGAATGGCACAGATTCGCCTGACGAATGACAATGTGAATGACAAGTCACCAAATGAATTACGGATTCATTTTTTTTATGAGAAGAGGTCTGATACGATAACGTAGGTAAAAACGTTGAGAAATACTGTCGGAAGGTTGAGAGATGAAATGAAATGAAATGAAATAGGGTTTAACGTCCTACTGTTCTGCTCCGATACTGGGCTAATGAAGACGGGCATACGCCATACAGTGTGCTATGGGGAAAATTTTGCCCTGGCAGCGTCACTATCGCCTACTCTTATATCGAATTCCAACTGCCAAGGGATCATTTACGTGCATTCCAATGTATACACGGGACCTCGGTTTTTCGTCCCATCGAAGGACTAGACAGCTGTCCTTGTCAGGCCCTCCGTTCTGCACCACTGACAAGGGGAAACCACGTCGGAAAATCCAGATGAACTTTCTCGGCCAATGCAGGGATCGAACACCCGACCTCCAGGCTAGCGATTCAGCGTCTTAACCACCTAGCCACCGTGACTCCCCGTTGAGAGATGAGGTTTCTTATCTAGTGTGATACAGGCTGTTCCCTGGTCAGCTTCATCAAATTGAAATAAAATATTAATTACCCCCGAAAAAGACAAATTAAGTCGATAGTTATTAAACTCAATACTGTAGTTGAATTATATTGGCCTAAAGGGAGCAGTTATTGCTTAGAAATTCCTTGTCAATCGTCATTCGCTTGTCATTCGTCATGCAAATTAGGGAGGCCCCGCTGAAGACGTCTGGCAAGCGATGTCAATTATCCAATCAAATTTAAAGAAACTCACATGACGCCATCTCTATGCGACTTCAGCCTCACTGTTCGACTAGATTTACTATGCATTCTGACAATGAACTAATTATGAATATTTATGACTGAACTGATTATATATATATAATAAGTAAAAATATATATTCCTATTTCTAAATACTTTACACTCTTCCCCGACAACTAAAATGTTATACTTAACATTGAAGTAATGATTAATTGTCAACATAACAATACTTTGAACATCAAGGTTTTGTCGAAGAAGATTGTAGACCATTAACAACATTCACAACGCCTTGGGGGTATATGAATGGAATAGAATTCCATTTGGTCTGACTGGAGCGCCTGGCCAATTTCAATGGTTCATGGAAGAAACTTTAGATGAGCTTAGGGACCGTTGCCGTTGTCCACATCTCGATGACGTCTGAGTATACTCCGGTTCGTTCGAAAATCATCTTGAAGATCTTAGAAAGGTACTACAGAGACTGCAACATAAAGGTATCGAGTTAAAACCAAGAAAATGCGAGTTTTTCAAAAATCAAGTACGTTGTTATCTGGGTCATCTTTTTTCTAAAGATGGGTATCAAATGGATCCAGTCGATAAGGTAGCTGTAGCAGATCTGAAAAATCGACCTATAAAAACTGTAGGAGACTTCAGACGTATGCTGGGATTTATAAGTTACAACAGGAAGTACTTACAATCATTTTCGACAAGGACTAAATCTCTATATGACTTGCTGAAGAAACACCCGAAACATTCATTGTCTGACCTAAGGATTAAGAAAGGTCAAATTCTGTCATCCAAAAAAATTCAGTTGGACAGATCATCATCAAGAAACTTTAAACGAACTCATTGATTGCAAGATGGCGGCCGGGTTAAGTCACTCTCAAAGGAGCTCCCGATATTTCAGTTAAAATTATCCAAATAAGCCATGGGCACGAACTGATAACAAGACTACATGAATAAGTAAACGGATACTGCGTTCGCAGATCACGATTGATAAGAAATATTAATGAAGACTTGTGTTTCATAAGAACTTTTGTAATTGAAGCAAGTGTTTGACTGTGAAAACAATGAGTTCGAGTTTAACAAGGCGAACCGAGTTTGGTAAAAACAACAGATACAGTGATTCAAGTTTCTCTACTATAGACGACACACCACTGAAATTGTTAAAAATGGATGAATTATTAAAAGATACAGAAGATGAAGGTAAGACAGATGAAATGGTTAG